CCGGGTGCCAGGTTTGATCCCAGCTGCGTGCCGTGCCCCCTGCGTTGGTTTCGACAGTGGTATCAGGGGGCCGACCGTCCAGGGGCAATGGCAAACTACTCAACGTAAATTTGCCTAGAAAAACCACGCAACAGCCTCAACTGCTGGTGTTGGTTCTGCAACGTCCTGTAAGGGATACGCAACTAACCTATTATTGTTCCGCACAGGGCCAATGTCGTGTGGCGTTCGTGTTCTTGACTATCTATAACCTTCTGTACATTAAATCAGTTCTGACAATAGATGATCGTCAAGGCCGGGGTGGTAAACTCTTCAATATGTTTTTTCTCGGTATACCGCTGCCCCAAGTTATTCAAGCCTTACTCTTATAATGGCATAAAATTATCTGACTTCACGTGAGTGTAATATGGGTTAGCTCTTATTAGAGTGCCTTCCAAAAGTTCTGCCAAATTTTGAAAATCTGTAACTCAGTAATCGTTTGGTGTAAGGTTTAGAAATTTGGAATGCAGCCCTTGTAACTGTTATTTTAATGTAAACATACAATTGTTCCCCTTATTTGAAGTATAAGAAGGAAACTCTGATTCTAAGCAAACAGTCGGCATACTTACAATAACTTAGATAAACTGAGTAAGGAAAGCTTTTCAAAACATCAAATTGCATGCGTGCCATAAGCGTTTCAGGAGCTCATCTTCAGCATTAGGTTCCCGTATGATTTGAATTTTTCATTGAATGCAGAATAGGGTATCTAAATAATTAAGCGCATCGCTGCACCTGGGATCTCATTTCCACACAATCTCCACATGTAGTCAATTACTGTCTGTTCTATTTTTCAGGGGTACAGAGATTATTAGTCAAATAAAGATCAAATAATTACTTTGCTTGAAGAGAACAGCAGCATCTGCGCAACTATAAATTATAGAATCCCAAGGACACGGACAATCTCAGGCGACAAGCAACAACAACCAAAATTGTGTTGAACCGTACAAGAGTTTTCAATATACTAATTAAAGTGTGACAGCATGGGATGGGAAACGCACTTTATACATCCTTTATAACTTTTTATATGGAGCGCTGGTGTATGTGATAACATTCTCGTCCTCTTGGTAGGAGCTGGTTTATTTGAATTCTTGTCTCTTCAAAATCTCACACTAGAATGTGCTGTAGAATTACTTTTTTATTTTTTTTTTTAACTTTAGATTTAACTCTCTTTATATGTGTTCCTTTAGACGCATCAAGGTTATGAACGCTGCTTCAGACTTCTGACATACCGAGAGTGTCAAAACAGACAGAAAAATTGGATGGACAGATAGTGCCGAGACTCACTGTGTGCTTTCCGGAGCCTTTTTTTTGGGGGGGGGGGGGGGGGAGAGAGAGAGAGAAATAGACTCATTACCTCCTGACAAGCATGTCGTACAAGGCGACTAAATAAGGGTTTGCTGAAATTTGATTTGTTGGTCCAAAAGTGCAAATATTCCAGCCTAACTGTAACCTACAAAACAACTAGCCAACCGCCCTTTCAAGAGCAATCTAAGATCTAAAATGACGTTCAGCAGTGGAAGTTATTGATACAAAAATGTTTGAACATGAATTTGATATTCTAAGTCGAGTAAACGTCACTTCTCTCTCTTCATTGATGCAGTTATTGTGACACTGTACATCAGTAATTTTTAAGAGTAAATGTCACTTCTCTCTCTTCATTGATGCAGTTATTGTGACACCGTACATCAGTAATTTCCAAGAGTAAACTGTCACTTCTCTCTCTTCATTGATGCAGTTATTGTGACACCGTACATCAGTAATTTCCAGGAGTAAACGTCACTTCTCTCTCTTCATTGATGCAATGATTGTGACATTTTACGTCTGTAATTAAGAGGAATCATTGTCGAAAACCCGAAGCATGTTTTCATTTTCACTCGCCCTGTTATTTCCGTGTGCTGACTAGAAAACATCACATGAAATCAAATACCTTGATATTGTTGTATTATTACTGAAATATTGTAGTCCACAATTAAGTGTACTTAAACCATAGTCTCTGAATTCTGCCTTCTCGTGTTGTCAGCAAACAGCTAGGATATTGACAATATAGATTTAATCGCATATATTACTCTTGATTGGATAGGAAACGCTAGATGATGTATGAATGTGCAATATAAACAAACAAATGCACAACATATTATATGTGATGTGAAATAACAACATGCATCTTCACCTTCCACTTTTGCAGACAGGTGTCGTGAGGGAGGGTCAGAACATCTGTCAAATTAAGTGATCATGAATTTTGAAGCAATAAATGGTGGTCCGAATGGACGTTGAGTACTAGCTCGGTCTCTTACGTGATACGTCCTCCCAAAATAGGGATTAGAAATAGGAAGGGAAAACATTTCAGTATCACAACAGACGACACAGTGGCAAAACTGTTTGGGAGGCTCAACCGGGCACACACAAAAACCCACTGGGCAAAATGATCAGGGAACTAAGGATAACAGGAACACAATGGGACACAGACAAGAGGGAACGGACAGTCTATTTGGTTAGGGACACAAATCTAGCAATCGGGCACACATACCACAATATTAGATAAACAATTGCAAATAAACTTGACCACAAATATAACCGGAACTCACGCATTGATGGTGAAAGACTTATAATCTATAATCCTTGAAGGTGTGATTTTTTGTTTTATATAAAATGGACATGGACATGTGGAGGAATAAAAGGTTGTCCTGAAGCCGTTTAATAAAGTCAATCTATAATCCTTTATAAAGTCAATCTATAATCCTTGTGTGTGACTGATCAGTGTCTTTAATAAAGTCAATCTATAATCCTTGTGTGTGACTGATCAGTGTCTTTAATAAAGTCAATCTATAATCCTTGTGTGTGACTGATCAGTGTCTTTGATAAAGTCAATCTATAATCCTTGTGTGTGACTGATCAGTGTCTTTAAAAAAGTCAATCTATATTCCTTGTGTGTGACTGATTAGTGGTGTCTTTAATGAAGTCAGTCTATAATCCTCTTGGAAATCCTCTCGAGCCACATTAGTTTTGCTTCTCGATGTTTTTGGCACAGATTGTTGGTGAGGGAGTAATATGTGTGTGTGTGTGTGTGTGTGTGTGTGTGTGTGTGTGTGTGTGTGTGTGTGCGAAATAACAGTTATAAACCTGTGTGTCTATCAATCAAAAACACTTATAATAAATACTATGAGCAAAAAGTGCAAACAGAAAAGTAATATTCACAAATGACCTCACAAGTAGCCTAAAACGTCATAAACAATGCAAAGTCAAAATAATTTTTTTACCGATATGCATACAACATATGGGAGCCTCCTATGATCAAGCTGCTAAATACGCATCTGTGGATCGGAAGATAGTGGTTTCAAGCACTGACGATTTTTTTTCTTCAGAAATGACCTCGGCTCCCAGGTCAGCACAGCCTTGAGTGCAGCAGAAGAAGAAATAATAAGAAGATGGAGGGGGAGAGGAAATCGATCGATTTTTCACCACTGCAGCGAATTAAATACAATACTTGTTTGCCTTAGTTAGCGGATTTATTCTAAGAGTTTGAAACAAACAAACAAAATACATCCCACAAGTGCTGTCCGGGGAAGTAAAGGCGGCTGCAGTGATGCTGATCAAATCACCCATCAAGTGCGATTGCTCTATACAATATAGGTCTAACGCTATATATGCCCGGAGACGAGGAAAGGTGTCCTTAATTTTTGTTTTTAACGACCTATATTTAAAACAGTTAAATGTCAACTGCAGATGATCAGTTGATAAACAATACTATTTACAGCCAGACCTAGTATTGCTGGAAAACATTTAATGACACATTTATTGAAACTTAAAACCAAGATTACATTCGTTACTGGTCGGTGCCAGCATTTTAAAATCCATTTACTACCAATTAGGACTTTTAATTGTGTGTTCATTGTGTGTATTTTCCTTCCCAAGATTTGATTTCTGTGTGTGAGGGTCTCAGTATGCGTGTGTGTGAGGGTCTCAGTATGTGTCTGTGTGTGTGAGAGAGAGTGTGTGCGCGCGAGTGTGTATTGTGAGAGAGAGCGTTATTTTTCGTATCAACTCGATACCAATCATCCCCTGTTTGTAATAATTGTCACTGCGGGCTAGCTAAGTTGGTCCAAGACAATATTAAATAATAATTATAGTTGCTCCTGTGGACAACTTTCAGAAATTCAATGGTTATGACTTATTTTATGTGTAGTTAAAATCTGCAGGTACGTCCTACCATTGGAGGCTAGAATTATCATTGAGTTAAAATCTGCAGGTACGTGCTACCATTGGAGGCTAGAATTATCATTGGGTTAAAATCACCATTATTAGAATAGATGAACCCGATGAAAATGTGTGTGATTTGTGAGATAAGCTTTGAGTAAATGTACAACATGTTTTTTTCTAACATTTCTGCACGGTATTTTGACTTCTTTTTGAAAAAAAATGGCGGAGATAGAAATAAATTTCACATTTACTTTTTTTCACCCTTCAAATTTTATGATTTTGTTTTAAATATCAGCTAAGCAAATAATGTAGAAGTGAAGAATATGTTCCCAACAAAGGAAACATCTACAAACACTCTAGCTCGCCACGAGGTGTGCTCATCATACGATAATGCCTGAATAATATCACTGGATGATGTGATCTTTTCTTCTTAACCCAGTATTTTTATAATCTCTTTGAACGCTGTATTTTTAAAACTCTAAGAAATAATTACGTTAACTAAAAAAAAAGCAGCGATATATTGTTTCCCCCTCCAGTAGTGATACATTCTCATAGCTCGACTTCCACTACTACTCCGTCTTCTTCTTGTCCTTCTTCTTCTGCTGTTTCTGTTCTCCTTAACATTTGCTAATTCTTTCAAAGCCATGTAAAGAAGAGGCTCTTAGTTTGGCATACACTGACATTTGAAATTTCATAATCCCATAATGCTATGCCATGTTTTTCCCTTCGCCGTGGATAACAAATTTATCGAAAGTATTTAACTGGAGATGTCTACAACGATGATGTCTGTGTTTTCCAATGCGTCGATGACATCCGATTCTCTAATTACTGATGGCGATACTTTAGATCTAGTCAATCCACCATCATATGATCTCATTAGTGAGGAAGCAACAGTGATTATCAAATGGATCATAGATGCCATTGTGTGCCAGGCAATCGATCTATTTGGAATTGCTACAAATGTCATCAACATCGTCTGTTTTATCAGACAGGGTTTCCAGGACCCAGTCAATGTCAGCTTTTTCGGTACAGTGGATACAGCAGTCATATTATATCATAATTTAATATGCGATTCAGTGCGTGTGAATGTGGTTGTCTGATATATGTCACGCATGACTGCAAATTAAAAGAAACGTAATGGACTATTTAAACGCTATAGAAGTGATGGAAATGTGGTAACAAGCAAAATGAAAGTGAAGAATCCCTTTGCCACCTTTCGGGCATATGGCTTCTACAGTATTGATAAACCAAATTAGCTCTTTTGCTAACTTTTGCTAAATCAAAGTCACCCTTTTGTAAATCAAAGCCACATCTTTGCAGATCACGTTTAATAAAAAAAAAAAAAAAAGTAGTTTCTTGATCTATTTTAAAATGAATTGGAACAAAAGATATTGTTGAAGCCCGTCTGGAATCTTCTTAAAATGGTAGTCTTATCTGGTAATCTGGTAATCCTAGTTTCAGCTTCATAGCAAACGGGTCTCCCCACATATGCTCCGCTCCTGTGCCAACGAAAAACACACGCAGCTCACAGTGTCACGCCATGCACTCAACCAGAAGCTGGGCGACGAAACTACCATGATTTCTACTATGATTTCTCTTGGACTCGTTTCCTCAGTTCATTTGTTTTCTGTTTCAGTTCACGTAGTATATTGTGTTTAGAATGCGGAATAGCTGGCCTCACACCAATCTGTCTCCTCCTTTCATAGTCGGGCTTGGGACCAGCAATGGCAGAGATATCGGGCTTATGACAGGGAAATTCATGTTAATGACTCAGAAAAAAAAACGCACTTGATAATGTTATCGCGCTGGCCACCTTTACCTACCATTATATTTTCTGGTTTATAACATGTCTATTTAAAGTCTGGTTTGATGTAGGACATCACAGCACGGGACATTCCCATTTAGTACCCACCTCCAGCAGCAAGCAGTCTGAATATGTACACCTTGTCTTTCCTCTTGAGTGTAGAACGCTGGTCAGATTCCCCGATCTCTCCCCCGCTGCAGCATTCTGTTCAGTTATCTTCCCGTGCTTCCGCAGTATACAGAAAACTAAAATTTAATACAGAATTTTTCCTTTCTAAATCCGCTCGGTGCCGTTTTCAAACCAAGACCTACGATTTAAAAAAGCTAGCTTGTGTGTTTTTTTTTTTTTTTACACGAATGGGAGCCGACTTGGAGTGGCGGCTAGTCGCTCGCCTGCGGATCCAAAAGTAGTGGGTTCAAATCCGAACGGAGGCGGTCTTTTTCAAAATTGTCATTAGCTTCCAAATCGACTCAGCTTTAAATCGGTACCAGGTAAAGATCTGAGAAATAAATACGCCCTTTGTAACCACATCACTCAAGCAGTTGTAATTGCTCTATAAAATATAGGTCTACTACTATAAGTCCAGCACGCCTGAAGGTGGGGAAACCGGTCCTTAAGTTTATTAGTAAACGTATGCAACAATATGTTCAGTTCCAGCAGCAAATTTAAATAGATTTTACTTCGATTGCAAAAGACAAAGAATATGTTTTATTAAAACAATCTTTACCTGCGAAAATGTTGATTTGATTTTCACAAGAGGGAATCTAATTTGCAAAAGGATAATTTTATTTTAAACGAACAATTAGGTTTCCAAAACGATTAATTTGATTTGCAAGATGGTGAATTTGGCTTGCCAATCTTGTAGGGCTAGATCTTTTTATACTGTTCTAGAAAAACGTGCACTCGATTGGCAGTCTCAACAGGACATTACCCAGAACCTTGGAGTCAAGGTCACAGCAGGACATTACCCAAAACCTTGGAGTAAAGGTCATTTTTTTACGGAGCGCTACAAACAATTCACATTATTGTTAAAATAAAGTATATCAGTTCCTACAGTGAGTCAAACAATACTAATAAAGAAGAGAAGAAGAAACACACAAGGAAAAACAAGAAGGAGATTGTAGAAACAAACGAGCAGTTTCATATTTTCCAAGACCACCATAGCTACAATTCTCAAACAGTAGATTTTTATCGGGAACTGGAAGTGGTCTTCGCATCATATAGAAGAAATAAATTTATGGAAGAAAACAAAACTTTACTGCTTTTATGGATTATTAACATCCAGTTGAACATCATAGCACTTGGGACACTCCCCCCCCCCCCCCCCCCACACTCCCATTAGTGCTCCATCCCCATCTTCAGCAGAAAACGAAGAGTTCCAATTCCGATGGCACCAGTTACTGCCTGCTTGTATATCCCTCGCCCTTCCCTGAGTGTTGAGCATCGGCCAGATCCCCCTGGTAACTCCTCGCAGCGCCATTCTCCTCAGACCGTAATGATCTGTTTGCGCTTCTGTACTGTTCACTCGCTCCTAGAGGGAGCTCACAATGTCTAGCTTGTCATACATCAGTTCACCACCAAGTGGTGCGAAACCGGCCAGTCTATCTGCCTGTTCATTTCCCAACACACTGATGCTTGCCACTCTGCACGGAACATACCTGTCTCCAAATTTCCTTAACATTCTCTGTGAGTCTGTTACAATCAGCGGAACGCAGCAGTGACTGACTCCATCTCCATTCTTAAACTAAACGTTGTGATATCATATGCCAGGCTTTGTTGCATTATGCGACACATATTTGTCTCTGCTATAAACCCCCTCGCACTTCGTCTGCCTCTCAACACATAGCCACCTGTGTAGATAATCACATCACTTGGGCGGGAATTGTCATGAATCATTTGTTGAACTTCTAATTCTGCAGCGCCAGCTGGCCAGTCTTTGCACTCAGGACTCAAAGTGACAGAAACCCTGCAAAAGTCTGAAACTTTTTCGGACACTTTGACCTTCTCCTCACCTCGTACAAATTTATCAATCCTACACACATGTCTGATTGTGTCTTCAGCTTGCGCCATCTTTTCAGTCTGTGACCCTTAGATCTACCTAGGGCTTCATGCAAGAGGTGCTTCTTGTCTGCAGCTACTCTGGGATATGACTTTGCTTGCAGAAATTTGAGCCTTTCTGCAATAGTAGGCAGTGCAAGAAAATATCGCATACTAACTACCGGGGTATCTCTTGTACATCCGAGAAATACCTGCATGGCTTCATTGTGTATGCATTCAAGTTTCATCATCTGACTGTTTAATATGGTAAGCATTCTAAGTCCATGACCCATCACTGACAGGATCACTTGCTGGAACATTGTAAACAGCATTCTTTGTTACGTGTCCATTGCTGCCATAATTGTGAGAGCATTGAGTCCTTTTTGGCATTTCACCACAACTGCCTCCGCGTGATTCATAAATGACAGGCTTCTATCGAAAGTGATACCCAAGTACCTCAGTTTTCTGAAAGCAGTTAGTGTATCTCAAAATATAATCTTTTTAAAAGCTCAAACAATTTACAAAGATCTATCAAATATTATACCTGTAGCTAAGACATCTGTAAAGAGTTTAAAGCTAGCAAAGGTTGGTTTGAGAAATTCTAGAATAGAATCGGTATCCATGGTGATGTTAGACATGGAAAAAGTGTTATTGCTGGGGTGAGGGTGAAAAGGGGGGGGGGGGGGGAGGGAGGTTGCTGAAAAGTTCATGGAGGAATTTCAGAAATTGGTGGAGTCAGATGATTACAGACCAGAACGTTTTCAGCTGCGACAGAACTATGTTCTTCTGGAAGAAAATGCCTAAAAGAACGTTCATCAGTAAGTAGGAAATGACACTACCAGGGAACAAGGCGATGAAAGACATGCTAACTATGCTCTTGTGTACCAATGTCAGTGGTGATCTCAAGATAATATCTATGTTGGTTTTTAGGAGTAACAGCAGAGCTTCTGTGACCAAGTGATTCTTGTGAAAACTGAGTAATAGGATAATAAGGCAAAGTGGGAAATTTTATTTCAAGATACGAACTGTTCAATTTAAGAAACCCAGTCAGGAACCAGTTAGTCATTTGTTGTGGTATTACTTTATTAAATCACTCTTGCTTTATGTATTCAGGCAATATGATCTGGAGTGATTGTATTTTACTGTCTCCCTAAGCAGGGCTGGCCATCGCTGACCTGGGATGTCTGATAACCCTGGTGTTGACAAACGTGTTTGTTACTCCAGCCTTCAGTTCCGCAGATCTGCCGTTCGATGCCACCGAGGTGATGTACCTCACAAGTGGACTCTCGCATGTGACCTTCACCCGAATCTCTGCGTGGATCACAGCTCTCATCACATTGGAGAGGTGTCTCTGTATAACAGCGCCTCTTAAGGTTTTCATTATTATTATTCAGATTATTGTTATCATCATCATCATCATCATAGTCATCATCATCAAATCACCGGAAATATCACCAAATATTTTTTCTCTTTCGTCAAGTCCATGCCGTTTGGTTTTGGTAATTATGTCTCTGCACAGACTTGTATCCCGTATACTGTCAATATTTCTCGCTACAGATGCTCTCGCATGCCATGAGGCCAAACTTCTCAGTAAATAGTCGTACTTCTTTATACACCCCTAATCTATCGTCGTGCCGTGCTTTACTGGGGGGGGGGGAGGGAGAGACTGGTAATCGTTACGTTCAACCAGCATCCCAGAGGGAGAGCTTTAGGTCATAATTGTGACTCTGATGTGTGCGCCGTTATAACATGGCTTAGGATTGCACGTCAGAAGTAGCCATGGAAAGGACTCCAGCAGCTTTGATGCGTTCACAAGAGACAGACCCAAATACTATTGTCTACAGGCGAGCCAATGGGTGACCTGGTCTCCGATGTAACCTAATCCGTTCTTGATCCATGTATATATGCTAAGGTATTACTGTAATTTGTCTTCGTCTCCTTCCTCCCCTCAAAGTAATTTATTTCCAGACCCATTCTTCTGAGTATTTATATATATATATATATATATATGCTCATGGTACTTCCTCATTTATGTATAAAACTATATCGCTCTAGCCTCAGTATAATCTTTTACTTAAGAACTTACAGTCTATGATTCCCTTTCGTCCAACAGGAATACGTGGTATTATCATTCCTATTTAATTAACAGAATTAAGTCGTGGTTATTTTCGATTACACGTTATAT